ACTTCTAGGAATATATCCCAAGAAACTAGAAACACCAATCAGAAAGGATATATGCACCCCTATGTTCATAGCAGCGCAATTTACAATAGCTAAGATTTGGAAACAGCCTAAGTGCCCAGCAGATGAGTGGATTAAGAAACTGTGGTTCATCTACATAATGGAATACTATGCTGCTGTAAAAAATAAAGAACTCTTACCATTTGCAATGGCATGGATGGACTTGGAGAGCATTATACTAAGTGAAATAAGCCAGTCGGAGAAAGATAAATATCACATGTTCTTAGTCATATGTGGAATATAACAAACAACATAAACTGATGAACAAAAATAGACCCAGGGACATAGAAACATCAAACAGACTGTCAAACCTCAGAGGGAAGACAGGGGAGGGTATGTGTGGGGGGAAGAGATCAACAAATGAACTCATATGCGTATATGCATAACCCATAGACACAGACAATAGGGTGGTGAAGGCCTGGGGGGAGGGGCGGAGTAGGAGAGATCAATGGGGGAAAATGGGACATATGTAATACTTTCAACAATAAAGATTAAAAAAAAAAGAAAAGAAAAGTGGTGGTTCTAGTTCCTAAGAGCTAAGATATTATAAGATCCTTAGCTATGGTCCAATAGGTAGTAAAAATATTTCTCAGTGCCTTGGCCTGAACAGAATATGATTTTTGTGGCAAGTGACTATCAAAGACTGGTCCATCTGATCAGCAGCTGCCCATCCCTGGATGTCACCTTTTTAAAGCTAATGTTGTCAAGGAGCCCATAATCTGTAAAATTCTTTGTCAGTGACATTCTGGGGATCTGGAGCAGAGATTGTAGGAAAGTGTTATTTTCCTATTACACTGCAGCGCTGTGCGAAAGAGCATTGGCCAGCTGACATCAACATACTCTCAGTAGGCTGCAGTGGATGGAGGAAGCGAGTGGGGTTGAAGAGGTGGGAGAATGAATGTGTAGGACAATGTGGATGGGGCTGGGAAGGCGGGGCTGGGTGAACGAACACCCATATAGCCATCAATCCACTTCATGCTATTAAACTACTGGACCCAAGATGTAACTCTGGACTCTGGGACTAAGCTTGACTTGGGGTTGAGAGTAGTTACCAATTTGATCATGAAGGTCAGGGAAGAGGGAGCAAGAGGTGTTCCTGCTGCCATTGTCCACATAGCCTTGGCCTCAAACTGGGCCTTTTCTCCCAGGGGCTGTGCACCATGTGACAGCTACAAATAATTCTTTGAAAGGAGATTATAGGGCAGAATTATAGAATAAATTAAAGTGAAAAGAGTATGAAATTCACACATATGAAAGGATAACTGCCTATATTATAAAGGTGTTTTTGCAAAATTATTTTTTACAATCAATTTAAGGTTGTAGTTACAATAACACTATGCTCACTAATATATCCATACACCTTCTTGAGTAGGAGAGAAAGCAAGAAGTTTGGGAACTGCACAGAGCTCTGAATGCTCCCATGGGAGTGTGTCAGGTCCAGGACTATCAGCATTATTTAGAGATGCTGCTCAAAATAATGAAAGCCTTCTCTGCCCAACATTATTTCTGTTGGGCATGTCTTTTGAAAGGAAATATTAAAGATATAAGGTTATGAAATTTCCACTCTATGTTAGTATAAAATTATTAAGCTGTGGATTTCGCAGCCTTCCTCATCCCCCTTTGTTGCCTTAATTTCTTCCCCTCTTACTACTCTGTTAAGAGAAGGTTAAAATCTTCTCAGGTGAATTCTTGAGAAAAAGCAATTAGAGTGGAATAAAAACCATGGGAACCTAGAGGATGAGAGAGTTGTGTCAGTATAAAAGTGTGAGAGAACCTTGGGAGTTTGGGGATAGTAGAGAAGAGGCAAGTGCAGGAGAGTTTAATAAGAGTCACTGTGGGTTATATACTTAGACTTCTTTCCCAGGCTGAGAGCTCTATGGGAGGAAAGACTGAAATTCTGCACTCTGTCACATTTCCTTAATCCAATATCACTCTGGGACACACAACTGGGCTTTGGCACTTGGGGGACGGAGGGGCAGTGCCACAGTTTTCTAAGCATAAAACAAATGAGGCATTCTTTACCTAACATTCTTACCCTTATCTACCATGTCTCTTCTCCCTAAACAGTCTCAGTGCTTTGGGATCAGGGACAGGGTGAGTGGGCAGCAGTGGAGGTGAGGGGGTTGACAGGGGATCCCATTCATGCTATTGGGAAAATAATGCTGATAAAATTCAGGCACAATACCTTTAGAACACTGGTTCCTTTGGTTTCTCAAACAAAAGGATGTTAAGGGCAACAGCAGTAGTGCACATGTCTGTGTCAAGGACAGCAAATCAGTAACACAAACTTCCATTTGGTCTCCCACAGATTAGACTTGAGGACTGAATCAAACTGCCAACTGTCTATACCAGTGGTCGGCAAACTCATTAGTCAACAGAGCCAAATATCAACAGTACAACGATTGAAATTTCTTTTGAGAGCCAAATTTTTTAAACTTAAACTATATAGGTAGGCACATTGTTATTAACTTAATTAGGGTACTCCTAAGCTGGCCTTTGCTAAAAACGTCCTCAATCTGATTGAAGTACGTTCGCTGAGGTCGACCCCTTCCAACTCTCCCATCCACACTCGTCTTGCATACTTGTTTCATCTATCTCCTTTTGTTCATCCTCTCTATATGTCCAAACCATCTCAACATACCTAAAAAAATGTTTCATTTTATAATAATAAAGCCACCAACACAAAATAATTACAATTCTTAAATTGATGACAAAAATACCTGTAGGATTTGCAGCTGGTTGGAAAAATACAGGTAACTTTATGCTTCGAGTAGGTACTTTTGTCACCCGCGCGATTTGCGGACACGACTAGCACTAACCACTGCACATGAGACTGCTGACTGACTGGCTCACTCAACTCGTGTATGAATCGCGTGCGCCTCCCCAGCGCTGCGTATCCCGCGGCCCGCCTGCGCCGCGTCTCACACCCCCCACTTCTTCTAACACCACTTCTTCAAAATAGACTTGCCCAGGCCGAAAACCGACTTCTGCACATGGGCCACGAAGTTTCAATCGCACTGTACGTGCGCTCCCGCACGTGGTATTTTGTGGAAGACCCACACTCAAGGGGCCAAAGAGCCGCATGTGGCTTGTGAGCCGTGGTTTGCCAACCACTGGTCTATACTTATTAAAGCACCAACTTCTGGCCCTCATGTAGCGTGCCTCCGGGAGCCTGCCATTCACTGACCTGCGCACTCATTACCGTACATCCCACTGAACCTTAGACCAGGGGTCCTCAAACTACGGCCCGTGGGCCACATGCAAATACAAATATTGTATTTGTTCCCGTTTTGTTTTTTTACTTCAAAATAAGATATGTGCAGTGTGCATAGGAATTTGTTCATAGTTTTTTTTTAAACTATAGTCCGGCCCTCCAACGGTCTGAGGGACAGTGAACTGGCCCCCTGTTTAAAAAGTTTGAGGACCCCTGCCTTAGACCTCTGGCCCTCAGACAAGGAGCCCTCATCTTGATTTCAACTCTTATCATTTTGACTTTTGGTATTTTCTCATATTAGATTCTTCATCAGTATTTTCCAAATGTGATGAACATTCATAATCTTGAAAAAGCAGGAAGAAATTGTTTTATCTCTTTCTTCAAAAAGAAGGCTCTTACCTGCCTGCTTGTATAGCCACAGAACAGCTGGAGAGCTCTGCTGGGGGGCACTGGCTGTGGGGTCCGGCGACCCTATACCATAACGAGAAGCCCAGAATAAATGATTTCAGTTTATAGGTGCCAATGTTCTTTCATTAACGCAGACTCACTCCATGAGCCCTTTCTGCTAGCTCTTTCTCCTCAATGTTAAGGCATGCCTGACTCTTCCACAAAACATATAAAGACATTATCTCTAACTAATTCTCTTTCTCTTCAGAGACAGGTTTCTTGAAAAACAAAAACAAAACCAGACTTGTACTTTATATTGCTCTTCTTTCTGACCTCATATTCCTTCCTCCTCCATTGCAATCTGTCTTACACAACTTTATTGAAAATGCTCTTGCAAAGGCTGCCCATGAACACCTGAGCATCTTGTTGCTCAGTTGAACAGTGTGGTGACTGTGGGGGCAGGGAAGAGGAGAGGCACAGCAGCGTAGGGGGTTGTGGTGGTGGAAGAGGGTATATGGGGGATAAGTGGGGAACAAATAAATTCGATGGATATACTTCACCTTCTATCTTCCCGAAGCTTTGTGGAGCCTTGGATCTCACTCTCCTTGAATCTCTCTCCCTTTCTGGCTTCCATGATACCACTCCTCCCCTGCTTTCCTCATTACCTACCTGGCTCTTCTTCTTCAGGGTCCATTGCACTCTCCTTCAGTTTATTTCTTAAATCTTGGTGTTCCAGAGGATTGCATTCTATTCCTGTTAATTTGTATTCTTTATATTCTCCATGGTTTACCTTAACTACATTTAAAGCTTCAGCTATAATCTATATGCTGATGATCTTCAAACCTACATCTCTAGCCTAGATCTTTTCACCTGAGGTTCAATCTACACATATAACTGCCTATAGGACCTCTCTGCTCAAAGTGGTCTCATTTCTATTCCAAAATCTTGCCCTTCTTAGTGGTAATAGCATCAACCAGCTTGTCTAAGAAAAAAACTTGACAAATATCCTTGATTCTTTTTTCTCCTCCTCTCACTATATATTCAATCAATGACTAAGACACATTTTTTTTCTTGCTTAATAATAAATCAATTTTTAAAACCTCCTGACCCCAAGCCTATTCCCATTTCATAAGTCAGGCCATGATTTTTTTCTAGCTTGTATTGCTGCAAATATATAATTGTCTGTTTCCAGTCTCCTTGTATTTTACTCCCAGTCTACATCACCCCTCGAGTGATTTTAAGAAATGCAAATATAATCTTGCCATTTTCTTGCTCAAAAATCTTCAATGGCTGCCAAAGCTTTTGTGATAAAATCCAGAGGGCCTTCCAACCTCCCACCCACCCTTACTTTACAGCTTCCTGGGTTGGACTGCTTTAGGGAAGATGGCTAGAGTGAAAGCTTAATCTCTGGCTATTTCATGCTTGGCTTCACTTTACTAAGGATGCCAATTAGTGATTTAGAGGTGAACGCATGTGCTCTGCTTGAGCTCAGGCCTGTTTCAAGCAGTCCTTGAAGAGCCTCCAGCCTTACTGTTACTAAAAACCGTGCTGACTTGAACTTGTGACCTAAAGTTAAATATCTGTGTATCCTGCTGGGCATCCCCCGAGCCAGGAAAGTGAGTTTTGGAAAGGCTTTGGTTACTTTTAAGTCCAATTTGGCCTAAATAAAGAAATATATGTTCAACTTAATAATATTTTCAATGTAATAATTTCAGACACAGATGATAGTATTTTTTCCTTCTACGCTCTCCCTTCTTATAATTGCTTTTCAGAGAGAGGTGAGTGGATCTTAACTTTTATAAAATGGGATACGAGTGCCTTCATTTTCTTGTCTTTCTCTGGCTTTAGGAATGGAAAGTAACAACAGCTGGGTGTGATCATATCAGCAGGAAACATCCTTGCTCCTGGCAGGTTCACAAATTGCTCATCTTGCCTGACATTTCAAATAGAGGGACAGAACATACATAAAACGAACAAGAAAATTAAAGGGGCTGCAGGCATGCACATATTCTACTTATAAAAGTAAGGAAGGATCAGTAAGTAAAGGATATGTAAATACCAGAAACCCACACAGGACAAGTATAAAAAATTTCACAAAGATTTGATATGGAGAAAAGAAAAGGGGAACCTATTTTCTTGTGAATAAAAAACAACACAATTTTCTAAAATGTTAATACATTCCTTTGCAGCTGTTAAGTAAAATATAGTTCATACACCATTTTCTAAAAGGTTGACAACTAGGTGGTTATCAAGGCAAACTTCCTCTTCTCTGTTAGTCTGTCTATAGCCTGAAAGAAATTGATTGTCAGGGGAGAAAAATCAACTCTATGCATCTTACACAAGGATGTCTTCCACCAGGGTGTGAAGGGCACTGGGATTGCGGATCAGTTTGTCAAGGAAGCTGACAATGTCAGTAAATTTTGGTCTGTGATTTCTCTCCTTCTGCCAGCAATGGAGCATCAGCTGGTGCAGAGATGCTGGACAGCCCATGGGAGCTGGAAGTCTGTAACCTTCTTCAATGGACAGAATGACCTAAAGGCAAGCATACACAGGTTATTCTCTTACTTTGTGGGACAGATAATACATATGCTAAGTTATAATTCCTTTTTACTAGTATATAGGAAGTAAAAGCCAAAATACTGGTAAATATGAAAACTACTTGTGAATTCAAATGGTCCAGACAAGGTAAATACAAAAGCTGTGAAGGAAAATGGCAAATATCCCCATAACATCCTCTAATCCCTCTGAGAGGAAAATGTGTCTTTTAAACACGTGGTGTACAGAAGGGAGGTTAAGTTTCATCACAATGTCAAGAAATAGTTTTTGTGTGGTTTAGCTGGAACATCTCAAAACTCATTTAAGACATCAGAAAGTCAGCATAAGATTGATACATTTAGTGCAAACCATGTGTAACAAATGTTTTGAGTAAAATGTACTTCTGGTGAAGCACTGAATTCCTGAATAATTTTTTTATCCTTTAATAATAAGTCCATGTGTATTCTTTTCTAGTTATCATTTCTTCTTTATTGCCTATTGAGTTCCTCTTCACCTACTCCTGGCTTTCCCTTAGTCTGATGCATGATTGTAGGTCCTCTAATAACTTCTAAGATCATTTCATCTTTGGAATGTTATCAATGGCTAGCTTAAGGCCTCAGAGCAACAGGGGCATTCAGCCCCAGCTTTCTCTGGGCCAGCGCTCTCCAATAGCACTTTCTGTGATGATGAAATATTCTCTGTCCAGTATGCTAGCAATTGGTCACGTGTGGTCAAGGGGTGTTAGAGATGTGGCTAGTAGGACTTAGGAACTGAATTTTTAGTTTTAGTTTGCACTAACTAAAATTTAAAAAGGCACATGTGGCTAGTGGCTACTCTATGGGGCAGCACAGCTCTAGAGAAAGAACTCTCTTTACAGTGGTTCTCAACCTTCCTAATGCCGCGACCCTTTAATACAGTTCCTCATGTTGTGGTGACCCCCAATTTCATTGTTACAAATTGAACATAATTAAAGCATAGTGATTAATCACAAAAACAATATGTAATTATATATGTGTTTTCCGATGGTCTTAGGCGACCCCTGTGAAAGGGTCGTTCGACCCCCAAAGGGGTCGCGACCCACAGGTTGAGAACCGCTGCTTTATAAGAAGCCAAAGTTAAAAAAAAAAAAAAAAGAAACCGAAGTTAAGAGCAACAGTGGATGATGAGGTTTTATTGTTATTTTTGTAATATAATCAGTAGATAAGGCAAGATATTGATTATATGGCCCACTTGGGAATTTCTTAACAATGTGTTAAAATTAACCCAGAATTTATGTAACTAATTTTTTAATGAAGCATTCATAGGTATTCATATGAGCCTTTCTTCTTATATCATCTCTTGGAGAAAGGCAAAGAAAAAGGGGTTATTTTCCTCATTTTTGGGGTGGGAAAACTGAGGGAAAGACAAATATTTAAAGACAAACACAATTCAACCTCACCCCTGCTCTCTCTTGACAACAAAAATATAAAAGTGCAAATGTTAATATTGCTAACAGAATACCCTTTATTGTAATGCCATCTGCACAAGTTCTGTAATTTAAAAAAAAAACCCACATCTTATTTTAATTTCTTTTAAAATTGACACTACTTGACATGACTCTACAATACCTGTAATTTATGCTAGAGGCAGTTTGTAAAAAGGAGCAGTAAAATGCCTTCAGGAACCTCTGAACTGCTCAGCTGTAGTTTTGTTTTGTTTTTTATAATAGGGAATTTCTCGTAATCCCATCAGTGTCTTTGTGACCAGTCAGGATACCAGCAATTTTCTATTCATTTTACATTCCACTATTGAACAGGATTTTTTCTTACCTGCTTTCTGAGTACTTTTGCTACCACCTAGGCTTGGGTTTTAAGACATTTTCAACACATTTTAGTACAACAGGATGTGTGTAAAAATGCTTGCAATACCTCAAAACTACTGTGGACAGTTTTGAAAAGTAATAAGAAAAATGGGATAGAATTCCACTATAGAAAGCCTTAAAGATCCCACTCCAAGAGAGCTCTCTAGTCAATTTGCCACAGTTACCTAATCACAAGCGCTTAGAATAAAGTAGATGACAACTGAGGTTATATTCTGAGGAAAAAAAATTAGCTGCCTTTACTGAGTATCTATCATGTGCTAGGCGCTTTGCATATTTTCCTTCATTTACTGCTTAAAATAACTCAGCGTGGTAGATTATTATCCCCATTCTTAAAGTTTCGATGTAGAGTGGTTAGAAAAATTGCCTGAATCCACACAGTATAGGTGGCAGATATGAAATCTGAACATAGTTCCTTTTAGCTTCCAAACATTTCCTCTGGCTATTCTGCAGAAATGCTTTTCAGTTTTCCTGATATAACATTTTCCTCCGCAATTTTACATTAATTTACACAATTTTAGGGGTGATTACCATGCTGTCTTTTGTCATAGCATCTGCTAATTAGACTTCAGTGTTTTTATTTGGATCTTAAGTTTAATTTTCTGGGTAAATAAAAAATTTACTTCATAGTTTGCAAACTAATCTCTGGCTGAACAGAATCATTTCTGAATGCTCTGAGTCTTGCACACATTTCTATTATTGCATACATTACATTGTATTGTAATTTTTCATCTGCCTTTCCTTCAAAGCTATATGTACTTGAAAACAGGGATTATTTCTCTATATTTTGCGTTTTCATCATTTAGTACAGTGCCTGACACATTAATAAATGTTATTGACTTAACAAAAGTTATTAGAAGACATTTTTTGCATTTGTCTTGATAGAGGAGCAGATTCTCAGAAAACCTGGAGGCTCAAGGTACCCAAGATGGATTCACAGCACAAGCATGATAGCAACTGAATTCCTCTATGAAGGAAATATTAAAATAATGGTGCCTCAAGCAGCATTGTCCAAAATGATCTCATGCCTCACTCTGGTTTGCCTGGAGAATGAGCCAGGTGAGACTGGGGCTCTCTTTGCTCCCTGAGAGCAAGAATGGACCCAATCTCAGCCTCCTGTAATCCCAGTGGCTTTTTTCTCCTGTCCAAGGGGTTACCATCTCTCAAGGGCCCCAAAGTCCTTGGCTGCTGGGGACCTGACTTTCCCAGACAACGGTAAACAGTTTTACATCCAAATCTAGACTTGTTGGTGCTAAGCCAGCAATTTATTCTCTTTTTATTGACAAAGTTGCTCATGCTTGTCCTGTAAGAAGAGAGAGTGTACTCTCCTGAAACCTTTACCCATAATGTGTTCAATGTGTGTCTGGTCCCAGTATGCCTTCCCATGGGGACAGTGAAGAGATTTGGGGACTCACGACTATTTTTCTTGCTGCCTCTGTTTTTTAAGTTTCCTCAGTTTTTTAAATTGTAAAATTTGTCTTGAGCCCTGGTTCATGAATGTTAAGCATTAAGGGTTCCACCTTATAGGAGAATAGAAATAACAACAATAGTGACAGTGACAATAATAGTAAGAGCTAGTAACTGAGAGCTCTTGGGGACTTCCAGGTGCCAGTTCTAAATTATTTGCATGTATCAACTCCTTGAATCCTCACAATAACCCTATGAGTAAGGTACTGTTGTTATTCCCATTTTATAGACCAGGAACTTAAACATTGAGAGGTTTAATTTGCCCAAGATCACACACCTAAAAATTCTGGTTTCGAAGGTAGCCAGAGAAAAGACTCAAGCAATATGATTCACAAAAATGGTTAAAAGATGCATATTTCTAATGAATTTTTAATTTATTTAGATATATCAGTCACTTAAATGTGCTATTGAGCATACTATGCATAAAGGTATAATGCAACGAGTAAAAAATATATCTTACTTTAGGAGCTGTATGATCTAGTGAAGGAGACTGAGGAGTGAGACTATGTTAAGTACCATGTAGGTCAGGGAGCTATGAGAGCCTGTGGGGGAACACCTGGCACAACCTTGGGATGGCTTCTCAGAGAAGGTGAGCTGAATCTTAAAGAATATAGAGGGTGTCCCCTCAAAATGTATACACACTGTAACAGCTGATAGCTCAGTTTTGAAAGTGAAATGTATTTCAATAAACACTGCCTTTATAATTATTCAAAGTGTGTATACATTTCTTTGGGACACCCTATATATAAAAGGTAGCACAATCAACTAGATGGGAAGAGAGGTGATTTAACCTTATTAGGGAATGAAAGTAGATTCGTTGGCTAGACAGAGTCTTCAAAGAAAGAATGGTGATATTTGAGGCTGGAAGATTAAGTAAAAATTATATTTCTTGAGATTACAAATTATTTTGCATGTTATAAACAAACATTTTGCAAAGTGGAAAAGGAATTTAGCAAGTAAATGACATTAGAGTTGCCTTTTGGAAGTTCACTCTGGCTAGCAGTGTGGAGAATGCACGGAGGGGAGGCCAGCAGGAGGCCAGTGGGAGGTTTGCAGGGATCCTGGAGAAATCAGAATGGCCTTGATGGAGACTGTGTGTTTTAAGAGACATGGACTGATTTGGCAGGAATACAGGAGTGAGTGAGATTAGATGTGGCAGTAGAGGAAGAAGATAAGAATAATTTCTAAGTTTTGGCCTTGGTCAACTGGCAAAGATAGAGGACACAGGAGGAGAAGCGATTTTGGGGCTGGAGTGATGATGCGTTTAATTTTCTATGAGCTTTCTGATTTCAGATTCAAGTGACATATATTACTTTGAGAGCTTATTATGTGCTGAGTTCTGGGTCAGGTGTTTTTAACATAGCTTAATTTATAAAGTCTCAAAATACCTTATTATTGTTTATGTACATATTATAGGTAAGAAAACTGAAGCGCAAACTGATGAACAGATTGGATTATGTAGCTAGTAATTCCTTGAAGACCAGACTAGAACTACCATCTCTGTAGCCTCTGAATCATGGCAGTGGTAGAGACAATCTGTTTAAGTCTTGAGCCACATTCCTGACTCATTCCCCTGGAATTAGATCTTAAGCCCTCTCTTACCTGCATGCTCCCGCTCTCACCTATCTGCTTATGACTTCCATTGCTGAAGCTGTAGTTCAGCTTCCTCTGC